TGTTAATAATAATAAATCCGATTGATTTGTTTTGTGTTTGCTTTGATGTGTTTGTCAATAAGGATTGTTCTGCAATGGTGGTAGCTACAGTTGTTGATGCTTACGGGGGTGTATCCCACATTCAGTATGGGAAATCTGGAAAATGTTGTTTAGAAATACTTATTACTGTACAGTAGATTCTTGCAGAGAAACACTTGCAGACCGTTAGCTTAGCTCTTAGGTATTTTAAAAAGTGGTCTGAACTGTAAACCCAGCTGTGTTGTAGGAATGCAGAGCAGCAGCTTCAATATCCTTGGACAGACCCTTATAATGACTTAGTGCTTTTTTGCGTATACGCTCGGATGTGGTTTGGTGTAATGAATTCCAGTAATACCGCTGCCCTGCTGGAGAGGACTGAGACAATTTAACTTGTGCTGCAAGTGCGTGGTTTTCCTGCAGGACTGTTGGCTGGTATGGGTGGGTCTGGTATGAGCGAAACCCGGTTTCAAGGTGAAGCCATCTATAGAGTGTATAGGATGACTACCTAAATGTAACAAATTGCTTTTACTCACAGGTATTAAGCTTCGCCCCTATCAAATAGAAGGCGTAAACTGGCTGGTTCAGTGCTATGAAGTCCAGCATGGCTGCATCCTGGGTGATGAGATGGGTCTAGGAAAAACTTGTCAGGTGCGTTGGTTTGTTTTCTTCTGAAAAATCAGTTTTGCTCTTGTTTGTTTGTTTGTTTGACCAGTGTTTCAGCAAGATAGGGGAAAAAAAATCTTGATCAGTTTGCATCAGTTAATTGATCAGTTGATCAGTTAAGCAACAAACCTTACTCAAAAGAAAACCTTGTTTCTTTCATTCCTTGTCACTTAATCCAAAAGGGTCTCAGGGTTTTTTTTGTCTTTTTTTTTTTTTTTTAAGTCAATTATTATTTAAAAGCCTTTTTTATGTTGAGTTTTTAGATGGACTATAGTTTTGTTGGAGAATGATTTTTGTATCTTCAATAACTAATCATTTTTAAAAGTGATGTATGGTAGTTCTTTTTCATGACTGTGGAAGAAAGGGCTTTGGAGAGGGGACTCCTGATGTCAGGGTCACAGTTTTTGAATCTAAACTTTTTTGTCGTTTATTCTGGTTCTCATCTGGTATCTTTTCCAGTTCCACTTTATGTTAGAGAACCTGTACAAATCTCAGGAGGACAAAATTTATGTTGTTTTGTGCTATTGGATTGAGCCCTTTTTGTGTCACTAAAAAAGTGTCTTTTCTTTGCCTTCTAGACTATTTCTCTACTTGCTTATTTAGCCCAAAAGCTAATGAACGAAGAGATGTTTCTGATACTTTGTCCTCTGTCTGTTCTGAGCAACTGGAAGGAAGAACTGGAGAGGTGAGTTTCAGTAGTTGCACAGACCATCGTGTTCTTGCCCAGCAAGATTCTCTTCTCTTCTGAAAATTCTCTTCAAATATAGTCAGTCCTACCTCTTTCTTCCTTTGAAAAGAAAAAGGTGGAAAGGGAAGCTACCAGAACAATAAATCAATGCAAACACTTGCAGTTAATGCACAGTCTCTACTATATTGTGATATACATGGTTTCATCCAAATTCATCCATATTATAATTATATGAATCTGACTTTCAGTACTAATGCCCACCGCTAGTTCCTTGCTTTTAATTGTTTTGGTTTATAACTCTTCATGCTCAGTCTCTCTTAGGCATGTCTTCTGAAGACAGCCAGGAATCTATGAGGAGAAAAGTAAGACCCAAGTTTAATGGTGCATTTCTTTGCATGCTAACAGACGCATGCAAAATATTGTTACATCCATGCATGCAACCCATCTTCACTGGGGTGCAGCGACTGTGCTGATGGCACACTCACTATGCAAAGTGTTTTTTTTTTCTTTCTCTCTTTTTTTTTTTTTTTTTTTCTTATTTAGATCTGGAGCTCTTACCAATCCTTTTAAGGCAGGAAGTTACAGATTAGAACAGGTGACTTTCTCTTTGGTTATAGGATGATGCTGTCTGTCAAAACTTGAAGTTGTTCAGTTTAAACCCTTAAGTGAAAATACCTGATTTGGGTAAAGTTACAGATGGAATGCTAGGGGGAAAGTGCATCAATTAGTGTTACAGATCAGCAGTGAATAGCTGTCCAAGAGGAACATTAGGCAGCAACAGTGATGGAATTAGGTGAGGAAGTATTTTATGATCCCAACTCTTCTTTCAGTGTACTGTTTTTATCTGCTTCTTGTCTATGATGATAGATTTTTGAGGCCCTGACTTGGAACTGTTTGCTGCAGACATCATCACCCTTTATTTTAACTCTGTTTGGACCTTTTGTTGTTGTCAGCTAGGGAAAGTATGTGTTCAGCACTCTACTTCTCATCAGCTTTTTCAGTTCAGAATAGCAGACATACTGTGAGATTGGTTTACAGTCACCTGTCTTGGACTATGAAAGCTAGGAGAAAGCAGCATATACAGGACTTGTTCAGACCGGAACAAGCAAATGAGGTGCCAACCTGAGACACAAATCAATCAGGAAGGGGTTAGATTCAAGAGCTGACATCCAGCCGCATCTCACAGGAGGGTAAGGTGCTTGAATAGGAGATTTTAATTCGGCCTTGTTTCTGAGCTGTGCGCTAACTAGATTTAATAATGGGGTCCAAGGTCTTAAACTCACAAAACACTCAGCTTGGTATTGGTGTTTTTTCTCTTTATTTCTTATGGCAACAGGTTTGCCCCAGGTCTATCTTTTGTGACATATGTAGGCAACAAGGAGGAACGAGCCAAGCTGCAGGGAAACCTGAAGGGACGGCCTCATTTCCGTGTGCTCTTAACAACATATGAGGTGTGTACATGATATCTGTTACTTGAGAAGGTGGCTCCATTTCCTGGGCTCCCTAAGACCATATGTTCGTAGTAGCATGTCCATTAAAGCAGGGACTTTTTTACTGTTAGCAAAATCTCATATTTTCTTTTTTCTAACAGAGCCATCTAATTCAAACACTTTTCTTGTTCGGTTGTATTGTTTTAGTGCCTTCAGGCAGTTAAGGATTGCAGGAAGAGAGTTCTTTGTAGTTTCTTCTTCTCTCCCCTTTTTAAAAATCCATTTTTCCTCTCGTTTCTCATTCATCTGTGCTGTCTAGCTCACGCTGTGTGCCTCTGTACATATCTCTGACCTTCCTCAGTGATTTTCTTCACTGTAACCTAACTTACCCACTCATTTAACTTTCTGCAATTTTTTGTCACTTTTTTCCTAGTTCAACTTTTTTTTTTTCCTCCTTCTGATTTCCTTGTCCTTTTACTTTCTCTTCAGAATTTTTACTGTCTTGTTCCTCTGGGAGCTGTCTGTGTGACCTGGGTTGACCTCTCAGATAATCTTTGTCTTTACTGTAATAAACAGAGGCGCTCACACTGAGGCAAGCCTGAGAAAATGGTCAGCTGTGTCAAGATACTCACTTTGCCAATATTTTCATTGTCTCTCTCAAGCTTTTGATTGTAAAAGTCTGTGATTTTCAAAGAAATTTTCCTGAGCAGCTTGGTGGTTCTACTTTGAATCTGAAGCTGGGCAAACAACATGAGCGCTTTAGGATATTACCAGTTCATTGCAATAGCTCAGGTTAATCCACTGAAGCCTCTGTTTGCTTTGGGTCAGTACGAGTGTGATGTTGAAGGTGTGTGATTTTTTTTTTTTTTTTTTTCTTCTTACCAAGTGAAAAAAAAGGATGCGGAAAAAAGAGGTGAAGAGACTTTGGTGTCTGCCCCCTAAATCACTGTGGTGGTATTTCAGCTTTTGCTGCTGGTGCTTTGCCAGAGAAAAGTTAAAATGTGAAACTACAACAGCTTGTGATTACAATAGCTGTCATGTTACTTTCGTTAGATTGTGCGTCATTCCACTCTGCCCCATTTCACCATACCTTGCAGTAGACAGAAAGACACTGTGTTTCTTAACTGATGTATTAACTTAAGTCATAAGTCTGATTCATTTTCTTTGGTTACAGGTTTGCCTGAAAGATGCAGCATTTCTAAAAGGGTAAGTCTGGTTTTATTTATTTTTTTTTCAAGTTAATTCTGTGGGGTCTCAGCAGTTTCCTCAGTGTGTATTCATATGTGTCTGATATCCTAGGCTTCATGGATGCTTTTCGTTGTAAGTTAGAACTTTGTCTTATAAAAAATTCTCAATGAAAGTTTATAATGTCAGTGTCTTTAATGTGTGTGAACTCAAGGACAGTTTTTGTGCCAGCCAACTAAAAATAAAGTGGTACATAGTGGCTTATAGCAGTACCTTAAATACCAATCCAGGAGAAAGAAGTGTTCTTCTAAAGCTTCAGATTTTAGAGATATTAGGTACAAAATCTGCTGAGCTGGACCTGCTGTATCGTGGTCATATGCTAATACCATATCCTACAGTTCATTGCCTCTTGCTCTCAATCAGAACTGAGGAGGGTTTAGGGAGCATGCAGAATTTTCCAGAACTGCCAGTGCTTTCTATTAGGCATAATGTGAGAAGTGCTCAGGGCAGCTGCTGCTCATGAATGATTCAAGATCTTTGCAGAAAGTGAAGTCCAGTAGCAGCCGCTGACACAAGCTTAGACCTCTCAGTTCACTACCAGCCCTTCTGCGTTTTGGCAGAGCACCTGTTCTTGGGCCATTGCTGCAAATAGGAGGTTTTGCTAGATGAACACATTCTTGTGGAAGCCAGGCCTTGAGCCTGTAATGTTAAAGCTGAGCCCAGGCAGGCAGTTCTTACAGCAGCAAAGCATGTCTTGTGGTGCATTTTGGGCATGGTAGGCTGAACAATCAGGATATAGGGAGATCAAAACAAGTTCTGGTACCATAGGAATTTCAGCTCCAATGCGATTTCCTAGATCTAAGGGTAGCACATACCTCAGTGATTCTCAGTCATGGGATTCCCTCTTTGTTATTTCTTCTGAAAAAGGTGGCTGCTAGTCGTTTGTACCTTGCCCTGTATGGGTCTTAAAGCACTTTAAAGGTAGCTCATAGTTAATAGATTAGCCCACCCTCTAGATGGAGATGACCCCCTCCTACCACCCTCCATAAGCAGTGCAACAAAACTGAGATGTGGCAAGGTTTTCTGTTGTTGTTAGCACGAACAGTTTCACAAGTTTCACATCAGCTATCTTCTCTTCTCCTATTTTCCGTGCCAAAACCTGCCCCTTTGTCTACTTAACAGTCTGAAAAGTCAGGGTTATCACTTGCTATTTGTTTGAGGAGGATACAAAAGATATCCTCCAATGGTGGACTCTGATGGCTTTTTATGACTCCTGCAGAAGCAGCGGGCAGGGTCTGCCTGGCCCAGCAGAGCAGGAGATGCACTGCTCTCTGCTCACCAAAGAGCTGAAAAATGAGTTGAACAAGAGTCCTGCTCTCATGTAATGCAAGAGAGATCAGACTCTGCTCTGCTTCTGAGCTTCTGTCTGTATGTCTTCTGCAGTTCAGCTGCAGAGTCGGCAAAATAACAATGAAATTTGACTGTCCTGGCAATGAAAAACCACTCTTAAGTAGCAAAGACTGAAATCAAGGGAGGAGAAAGAGCACTGGGAAGAAAATAGTTCCCTGTGTTTCCAGGCTTCTACTCCACCAGGAAGAGTTGTGTGGGTAAGAAAAGTAGTGTCACATTTTACCTTCCCTGCCTGTCTGTAAGCCAGAATTGACTATGTGGAAATTGAAACCCCAGTGATAAGTGCACACACCCAGAGGGAAAGCTGAAAAGATCTGGGGGTTGTGTTAAATCTCGTGGATCTGCCAGGTCAGCAGTGATTCTGGAGCATAGGGAGCAAGACACCTGCATATGGCTGTATCAAACCCAGAATGAGTCAGAACTCCTGTTTTGCGTGAGTTGCAAAAGATTTGTAGTGGCTCGGCCATTACAGCTGCAGGGTGTTGTACAGGCGCAAGGGCCAACTTTCATGGGCCTTCCTTCAAAATATAGGCTTCCTTGGATGTTTGACTGACCTGGGCTTATGTCATTTTTCCCCACTGCAGTGAGGGTGGAGAAAGAAGTAATGAAGTAAAGTGAATTTACTTAGTTTTGATTTCCAAAAAGCTCTTCCAGGTGTGCGGAAAATCTCGCTGGCAAGAACTGAATGTCCAAAAGGAGACAGAGGAGTCCTAAAACTTTATTCGAATAAAGGGAGAGTCCACCGGGCATATCCCTGTGGGGTCTCTCAAATTGCTGGAGGACACAGCCCCCCCTTTTATCCTAATTTCCCGACCGAGGGACACCCTCTCCTTTTCCCCATTGGCCAAGGTACTCAGAAGTTACAGCCTTCCCGGTCTGCCTACACCCAACTCCGGCCTCCCGCCATCTGTTCTCACCTGAGGTCACCTGACTCCTTTGTCCCCCTTGCTGAAGAATGTGGGGCAATTGTCCTATTTCCTTCCTTTGTAAAGACCCCCATTTCGTTGCTCTCGTTGCAGATGGCTCTTTTTGTCCCACTCGGCTCATGGCTCCACTCAGTCTCCCCTCCCCTTGTCCTGCTCTTCAGCCAAACTGTGGAGAAACCCCCTTATTGATGAATACAGAAACTTGAGCATTCCGCTCACAGGCTACCCTTGAGGAGCAGTATTGGCCAGTGCTTGGAAATTTTTCTTTTCCCTCATGTGGTGTTTGCATTCATGCTATGGTATGGGGCAAGCTTGGGTTCAGGCAGGTAGAGTCATGGATTGTTTCAGTCTTTGCATACTCTTGAGTATGCATGTCAAGAGTGAATTATCTGCACCTGACTTAAAATGCTGTTTTGTGTTTGTTCACAGTTTTAAGTGGGCTGCCTTGGTTGTAGATGAAGCCCATAGACTGAAAAACCAGAGCTCTCTGCTTCACAGGACACTTTCTGAGGTAAAAGAACTTGGCCATCTTTTAATGTCTAGAGACTTTTCTCTCTTCAGCATAGGATAAGGATTCACTGTTTATCTTTCTGTGTATTTTTAAGCACTGAGCCATACCCAGTTTCCGTAAGATTTGGTGAATAGATTTCTGTGTTTAGTAGCAGATAAATCAAGGTCCATCTTGTTGGCTTTGTGTGGAGGTGGACAGTACTTGGTGATTCTCTCTTATTCTGGCTCATATTTGTGCTTGACAATTTGAGCAATTTGAGAGAATGAAAAGTGTAAAGAAACCAGGCACAGCACTGAATCACAGCTGTGTGACTGAAGTGTCAGAAATCCCTCTGACAATAAAACAAGACAATAAAAAGTGACAAGAGAGGACCTACAAAGCAGTGCAGGTGGGGGAACCCTGGCCTCGTTCACAGGAGCTTGAGTCAAGCTATTGACATTATCTTGCTTAATGGAGACACCTGAGTGTATTGAATTTCAGCTTCCCTCATGCTGTTGCTGTGAATGTCTTTGGATAGAAAATACCTCTTGTCATGGCAGTGAAATGTGGGTGTAAGATTTGGGGTGGCACCAGCAACAATGAGCTACGTACCTCTAAAAAAAGCCCTTGACTGTTGCTGCAAATATTATGTTGGCTGGTTTGGGTGGACACTTGAATCTTTCTGCAGGCGTTTATTTCTGTGCCATCTATCATCTTTAAGATGGCCATAGGAGTGGCATGGGTAGAGTTGTATATTAAGTGACTTTTCATTCCAGATACTTTCACTTGATTATTTTATTTTGCTGTTGGTTATTTCAGTTCTCAGTAGGATTCAATCTGCTGCTCACGGGCACTCCAATCCAGAACAGCCTTGAGGAACTGTACTCCTTACTCAGTCTTATTGACCCTGATATCTTTCCTAGAGGACAAGTAAAAGAGTTTGTTGAATATTACCAAGAGGTTGAAAAGGAAAGTGAACCAGGCAAGTAGTAAACAATGTTGTACTTGATTCAGAACTGTCTGTTACTTTGACTAGAAAGCAGGCATGTTGTGTCCTCTTAGTTTGCTTTTTTAAATAGTGATTAGCTATGAATTAAGCCCTTAAAAGTAATGATTAAATTGTCTTAACTCTTAAGTGCTCTAGGTTTGCAGCTGTGGCTTTTTTTTCTGTTTGTAAAATTAGACTCAAATCAGTTCAGTAGTTTTGAAATTGTATTTTAAAATGATAATGAAGCTGTTGTATAAATTCCTTATGTTCAATTCAATAACCTCCTCCTTTTTCTTGCCTCTGCATAGCCAAAGAATTGCACAATCTTCTGCAGCCATTTTTGCTTCGAAGAGTGAAGTCTGAGGTGGCAGCAGACCTGCCAAAGAAGGTGGAAGTGGTTCTGTATCATGGAATGTCAGCTCTCCAGAGGAAGTACTACAAGGCCATTTTGATGAAAGATCTAGGTAACAAGGGGCTTTGAACCCCATAAATTATTTTTAAACCAAAATGAATTCCATTTGTAAATCCATGTTCAACTGGCATGAAGAAGATACTTGGGCTTGCAAATATGCACCAAAAGAACATGCCAAATTCAGTGCTGTGCACTGCTTAATTAGTGGTTTTAGCTTGTGATAAAATTAGAAGCAAGTGGATCTAAAAGCAAGCTGTTACAGGGACTGGGAGGGGTCAGTTTTAGAATTCTGCTTTGGGCCAGTTTGTAACTCAGAATGTTCACCCTGGGTAAGCCTGTAT